TCCAGTGTCAATAGAGGTTGCAGTGCAGAGAGTCCAGACTTTAGAGTAAGCCAGAAATCGGTTTGTATCCAGGTTCCAGGACTCCCTGGACTTTGATAAGTCACTCAACCTCGGGAAGTCTCTCTTTCCTCCTCTGTTAACAGTCTGACGGTGCTTTCCACGTGGCAGGGTGGTCCTAGAACAGTAATCAAGCAGCAGGTGCTCACGTCTGGTTTGTGTTCCCAGGAGCACCAGTGGAGTGTTTCCGAGCGCAAACCCAAACATCTCAGCCTGGGGGACGGAACTCACACCAAGGAATGACAAGGAAGGGACCGTTCCTGGAACTTTCAACAAAATGATCCTGATCCCAAACGTGGCCATCGTCATTTCCGCCCTCGTTGGACTGGCAGGAAATGCAATTGTGCTCTGGCTCCTGGGCTTCCGCGTGCGCAGGAACGCCTTCTCGGTCTACATCCTCAACCTGGCGGGAGCCGACTTCCTCTTCCTCTGCTGCCACATTATAGACTCCGTGCTGGTGCTCGTCAAGTTTTTCTATCCCAACACGATCTTCCTCCCCTGCTTTACCACTGTGATGATGTTCCCCTACATCGCAGGCCTGAGCATGCTCACCGCCATCAGCATCGAGCGCTGCCTGTCGGTCCTGTGCCCCATCTGGTACCGCTGCCGCCGCCCAAAGCACACGTCTTCTGTCATGTGTGCTGTGCTCTGGGTCCTGTCCCTGCTGTTGAGCATCCTCAACAGGTATTACTGTGGCTTCCTGGATAAAAAATATGAGAATAACTCATGTCTGGCATCGAATTTTCTCAACACAGCATGCCTGATTTTTTTATTTCTGACTCTCTTTGGGGCCAGCGTGGCCCTGCTGTCCAGACTCTTATGTGGCTCCCAGAAGATGCAGCTGACCAGGCTCTACATGACCATCCTGCTCACGGTGCTGGTCTTCCTCCTCTGTGGCATGCCCTTTGGCATCCACTGGTTCCTGTTAATCTGGATTAAGATTGATTTCAATACACTGTCTTTTGGTGTGTATCTGCTGTCAGTTGTCCTGTCCTCTGTTAACAGCTGCGCCAACCCCATCATTTACTTCTTCGTTGGTGCCTTTAGGCAGCAGCTTAAGAAGCAGACCCTCAAGCTGCTTCTACAGAGGGCTCTTCAGGACACCCCCGAGGAGGATGATTGTGGAAGCAGCTGTCCTCAGGGAACCCTGGAAATGTCAGGCAGCAAAGTGGAGCCATGATGAAAAGCCTCTGGCCTGGCTGTCAGATGTGACTTTGGGACTCAACACTGCCTGGCTTCAAATGACACTTGTCTGCTTTTCTGTGGGTTTTATGCCCCTGAAATGCCTCAATGATTCCCCAGTGTCTTTAAGAAGATTATTTGAATGTGACTTTTCTAATTTTCCTAAGTTAAAAGCATTAATCTGAAAATACACTATCTCCATCATCCTTGATATTACCAATAAACTTATCATGTTAACTTCCTTCAGATCTTCTTACTGGATGCTTTTTGTTGTCATGGAAAAAATCTTTCTAAAACCATAACGGTCTTGTTTGTGATTGTTTTCTACCTGACATTACAGAAAAAGAAGATAGCAAATAGTTTCCCATGAAACATCCCATAGAATAATACCATCAGTAATCCTTTTACACTCATGAATCACAAGATTTACTATGCTGAATCTTTTAACAACCCTCAGTATGTACTCTGACATCAACCAAAACACAAATCCTTAAAATATTTTTCAAGGAGAGTGCCTGCACATACTTATGCCATAGATCACACCATGATCTACTCTCACTCTTTTGTGATCCCAAAGAGAAATCCCTCGCCTCCAGCCAGCTCAGTTTAGTAACCAGTAATTTAGGATACCTATGGATGCAGAACCTGAGTGCTAGATGAGGAAGAGTACTTCACCTGGATTCAGGTAACCTGTATTCTCAAATACTTGAAATTTAAACTGATAACTCCTCAGTTTTGCTAACCACACTAGCTTTTTGCGGTAGGCGTAAAAAGATAACAGAATGTGGACAGAACAAAATGGGAGGACAGACAATTCATAGTGACATTGTTCATGAAAGCTTAAGGTTCTTCAGGGAACAGTTATCAGAATATGGACAAAAGGTGAAAAACCAGCCTCTATCTCAGAGCAAAGCCTGTCCAAGAAAGGGACATGACCTTTGTCCTTGGAAAAACCCACAGAGCACTCCTAGGCACATTCCCACC